GAGTCAACACTTGATTTGAACGATTTGGTGTCAATTTCGACTAATGATCCATGTGATTGTTCATGTCAAAAGCTATATAGCTTGGTAATCTAAAGCACATAGAATCGAAAATCAGTGAATTTGGAATAGTGGTTCGATTTTTGGTTATAGGATTAAGATTCGACTATGAACTGGATTTGATAATCGAAGGATACAACTTTGACTGATGATGTTGTTAGTAATCTTGGAATCGAGTTGCAAGTTGAATTGGAATCGATGTTCATTCAATTTTGAATCGATTCATACTTAGATTAGAGTCGAATACCATTTTGATTGTTGTTGTTTTTTTATTCGAGTCAAAAAACTGATTTGGGAATCGAATTTAATTTGGAAATAGAATTTAACTGTTGTTTGGAATTGAATGTCTTGGAGTTGAAAGTAGGTGTTCTGATGGTTAAATGAAAAACTTAAGCCTCCTAATTTCGACTGGCGTATGTTAATTGAGTCCAAATCGAAAGCAAATGTAGTCTTGGGATCGAATGCTCTGAAGATGAAAGTGTTTGCTTGGGATCAAAGTCGAGTTCGATTGTTTGTGTTATGTAGTTCGCATATGTGAAAAAATTGGTGTTTTGAGTTATCCTTGGAGTCACACTGGAAACTAATTTGGGTCAAATGAAGTCAAATTCGATGGTGATGAGTGAATTAAAATTTGATTTCGACTTGTATTGTGTTTTTGTTAGCTCGAATTAAGAGGAACTGGAAATCGAACTAGGGGAAGAAAACACATGGGATATTGGGATCGAACGCTTTGGAGTTGAATTTGGTTTGGAGCAGTTCAAATCATGTATTAGGGTGTTGCTTGGAGTAATCGTTGAATTCGACTCATGATATAGTTCGCCGTTCGCATGTGAAAAGCGAATTGAGGAAGAACATGTGTTTCGATTCGAGTTTCAACTTTCAACAATATGACAATTTCTACCCACTTTCGAAATGGGATCGTTTTCTGTGAAGAATGTAGAATTTTCATTTCGAATCTCTATAGTTTTAAGCAAGTTGGAAGAAATTACCCAATTTTGACACTGGGGTAAAATTCTTTGACGTTGGAAAATGTTTTGAATCTAGTCCTTGTAGTAGATGTGAATTGTCACTTTATGCCTAATTTCACATTTAGGGTAAAGTTTTGCATTTGAAGCTGACTTGGCGCAATGCCCCCCTGCATAATTTGTCAAATTGATAGTTTTACCCAATTTTCAAATTTCTTGCAACTTTCACCCAAAAGTCAAAAATTTTAATAAAATTTGAATTTTTTTCTCGGCTTTTCGTGATTGTTTTTCGTGTAAGACTTCCGCGGTTACATTTCTATCACACATCGAAGGGAGTTTTGTCATGTGTATTCCTCGATTGCTTCTCATCCTTTGTGGGTTTTATAATCATTTGTTGATTATAAAAAAGGGGGGAAAGTAGAAATGGGTATTCGAAGCGTCTTGGGTATTCATTTTGCGAATTTGAAGACCTGTGTTACTTCGAGGGGGAGTTGGTCTTGATTACACAAGCTCGTTTGGAAATTCAAGTTGGGACATCCAATCCTAACTCTTAGGGGGAGAATGTTAGGGTGCAAAGTTCTCCTTGGATGTGGTTTACCCTCTTGTATATGTAACGGGTTGAGTCTTTCCTATAAATAGGGAGTAAGTGACTCTCATTTATGTAAGAACTTGTAAGACCTATTTTGGAGTGTTTAGTTTAGTGAGAGAAATAACAATACCCACTTGTGTTCTTGATGTTTGAATGATTCACTAGATCTTTACAATTCTACACATGCTATTATAATGAGGGTCATTACATAACTTTTTTGCATTCCTAAATTGCCCAACACTCATATTTATGTTGTATCTCCTGGATACTAGTGCTTTCATTTTCCTCAAACTCAGTTTAGGACTCTCTAATACGTTATTCACAAAATGTTTCCTAATCCATTTATATGTTACAATTGACCCAAGTTTGAATGCCCTTGAGCACATACGCTCTGATATAAGTGACTTAATCTCAAAAGTATGTCCCTCTTTCCTCTAGGATGCGTACAAACTAAAAGGGCATGTTGGATTCATCCCTTTACAACACCTAACAAGCAACCTACTCTTGTTATTCTTTTCATACCATTTTTTAATTATCCATTTTTTATTTAAATGCATCTACGAATTTGATTAAATTCGATTAAATATGACAATGGTTATATATATATATATATATATATATATATATATATATATATATATATATATATATATATATATATATATATATATATATGGGAGGGTTCATCTAAACTTTGAAATACATGATGATAATCGATAATAGATGATTAATTGTGTCATATTAGCAATGTATGATTATTAACATTTTTATTATGAAAACGTGAATTTAAAAATGGTTAAGAACGTGAAAAAAAGGTAATTATTAAAAACGTTTTTAAATCTATATTATCATAACACAATCCAATGTAAACTTATTATCATTAATTTATTGTTAACAAATTTATTTTTTATAGTACATGTATTTAATTTTTATAAGATAAAATCTATTTTCGCATTTTCGCAACATATTTATATTTTCGCAGAAAACTACTTTCATATATATATATATATATATATATATATATATATATATATATATATATATATATATATATATATATATATATATATATATATATATATATATATATATATATATATATATATATATATATATATATATATATATAATTGGTGGACTAATAATGTGGTGTTAACTTGTTATGCTTAACTCAAACCCTTTGGAACACGATTTATAGTTTCATAAGTTCATTGGTTGAATTTAAATATGATATCAAAAGTTTAATCCAACTTGTGTATCTTGGACTATTGTATCGATTATTAGTTACTAAATTACAATAATATTACTTTATCCTAAAACTAATGGAATAAATTTTTTATTGGTTGATTTTTTTGAAATTTAATATAAACTCGTATTTGGTCCATCATCGAACTTAATAAAATACGATTAAATTCCCTTTACATGGAAGTTATTTTATTTTGTCGGCAGAGATTATTGTTTAGTTTGTTTGAATGAATTGATTTGGTTGTTTCTTTCCCCCGCTCACTCAAACCCACTAAAACGGGTAATAGCTTCTTTGATAAATTATTAAAGGTTTAATAGCTTCGTTGATAAATTACTAGCAATATCATTAATTCATTATGGTATTAGGTCTATTATTATGTCCAACACATATTATGGAAAATTATGGAAACTAAACAATTAACTTGATGTTATAATGCTATGGTACGAAGTTATAATGCTATTGTACGATGCCAATTCGTGCCCAAACAACCTAGGGCTATGAGTGTATTACTGAACTTGATGTTATAATGATATGATATGAAGCCACTACGTGCAACCACAACCCAGGCTGCGAGTGTGTTAATGAAATCAAATCTTTTAAATTATTTGATTGTAGATGTCAATTGAAAAGATAAAGGTCCGATGATTAGTGTTAACTCGGCGAATAGTCGTGCGTTACGCGTAATAAAATTATACAGCTAAACATTTGGTAATCATATGTTATTGAAAAATTTATGTTGCTCATATTAACTACAAAAATAGTTATTACATTTAGTTGATAGAAAATTATAATTAATTTAAATAGTAAATATAATAACAGTTATTAAAATGAAATAATTTATAGGTCTACAATCACCCTCTTACACGTGTAAAAAAACTATTTATATTTCTTAACTATTTTAATTTACTATGGTTATGATCGTAAACATGTCGTATTTGCTATAGGATCGTATGTAGGATCGTAAGATTGAAATCCGATCCCATCCTACCTTACCTTGATTTTTTTTTCCACTTTTATGTCTTTTACTCTTTAGTAATTTACACTTTATCATTTTGTTTTGTGACTGATAACTAATATTTTGAAGTTTTTATAACTTTTGAATGGAAAATTGAATGTTTGAAATATTTTGCTTGTTTTAAAATTATAAATTGGGATTATTTTTTATTTTGTGCGATTTTAGGATCCTCAAACGATCCTATGTAGGATCCCAATCTTAACAACCTTGGTTGTGAGTTTCAAATAGATGTGGTGAAAGAAAACATGTTTCCTTTACGATATATAGTGTGATGATATAATATGATATGATAATACGACTAACGTCATTTGCAGGCTTTTACGCCATCTATGGTCTCCTTGGAGATCCTTGTGTATGTGAATGGAAAAGATAAAGGTGGGCTGCTTAATTTTGTGTTAATTTTATAGTCTTACGTCACCTGTGGGTATCGTTTGATTCTCTAAAGATTCATTGTTTCCTCTATAAAAGACCAGCAGAACCGAATCTTGTGTATGTCGACCACATTTCAGGCTGAGTGGCTAGCTCAGATTTCACTTTCTGGAATTGTAAATCTACCTGATTCAATTCATCTTCCTTCGCTCTTCTCCACTAAATTCCCAAGTAAGTTGCTCAATTTGCTTTTCACTGTTCTGTACACTTGGCTTTTAAATTTGTAGTCATATGAATCTGTTTGTGACATTACATTGAAGATATTTTGGACTTATCTCATGAGTTTGTGTTTTTATTTTTATCATGTCTATTTGTGACAAATACATCAAAGAGGTTGGACTTCGCATGCTGTGTTGTTTAGTTTCCATGACTTTGTGTTTTTGATTTATCATTTTGTCATGTGGTATACGTCGAACAGTTTTCTCCATTATAATGTTTCATGTTTGGTTTTGATGACTTTGTGTTTTTTTTTCCGACTTTTTTGATGCTTGAAAATCTTGCTGAGGTGCGCTTGTAAATATGCAGTTCTTCCAAAGAATAATGTTTGGGAGACACGGACACATCTGGTTTTTGAAGAAAGACGATAAGAGTTCCTGGACGTTGCTATTTTGGTTTACATTTACGTGAACCTCTTCCGCTCTGGTCCCTGAATCCAGTTGTTTTAATCGTTTTTGACTTGAAGAAGAACAATATTTCTTTATGGATGATCAAACGATCATGTTTGGATCCATTAAAGAAAACAGTCTTGATTTTGATAGTCCTATTCTGTCTTCTTCAACCCTTTTGAATTTTTCACCTTCATACTTTAGTCCCACAGACAAATTCATGAGTTGTTTTGATCCAATCGTTTCCCCAGAGGAATCAGATACGCACCCTCACCCTCTTGATGATTATCAAGAAGTCTTTGATGATCGGTTGATTCAAGCTTTTGAAAATCTGTACCAAGGGCGCTCAGTGGACACAGACCTTCTTGTTCAACTATGGCTGCCTGTAATTAGACATGGTAAACAAGTCCTAACCACAGTCAGCAAATCATTCATAATTAACTCCGATAACACAAACCTCTCAAAGTATCGAGAGGTTTCAAAAAACTACCAGTTCGCAGCTGATTATGATTCCACTGAGATGATCGGTTTCCCTAGCCGTGTTTTCATGAAGAAGTTTTCCACATGCACACCAGACGTACGATTTGTTGCAGAAGGGGATGACCCACGTGTGATTTATGCTAAAAAACTCAACCTTTGTGGGTGTCTCAACCTCCCTGTCTTTGAATTAGATGGTGGAACTTGCTTGGGTGTTGCTGAGGTGGTGACTACTTCCCGGAAAATCAACCTCCGGGATGAACTTGAAAACATCTGTAAAGCGCTTGAGGTCTCTCTCTCTCTCTCTCTCTCTCTCTCTCTCTCTCTCTCTCTCTTCTCTCTCTCTCTCTCTCTCTCTCTCTCTCTCTCTCTCTCTCTCTCTCTCTCTCTCTCTCTCTCTCTCTCTCTCTCACACACACATACACACAGATGCACATTTATTCTTTTCATTTCTCACTCTCCCAGAACCAAATAACCAGGTGATTCATGATGTTTCAGAAACTCATATTTCTGTTGGTTTAGTTAGACCACAATCATATCTCGGTGATTTTTTTTTTTTTTTTTCCTGTTAAATGAGTTAGTTTCTTGGGTAAACTTTTCTGAATCAATTTTCACTTGCAGGCTGTTGATCTAAGGACTTCGGAGCTCTTGATTCATCCAAACACAAAGGTAGCAATACATTAAGAAACTCATCAACCAGTCAACACTTTAAAACACGTTTCTGATATATCTAAATGCGTGAAATAGCAACCCTACTTCCAATTTTTTTTTTTTAAAACCTACCCAATTATAGCATTATACATTAAAAAATATACCAAATGATTAAGGAAAGTACGTCGCTATTTATCAGGAATTCAAAGAAGCACACGATGTGGTAATTGCAGAGATTCGAGATGTTGTGAAAACCATATGCAACACATTCAAATTACCATTAGTTCAAACATGGGGCCCATGTGAAGCCAGATCCCAACAAAATGTTAATTCCTTTTCCGTTATCAAATCTGCTTCATATGTTTTTGATCCCGAGATTTTATCCTTCTTCGAGGGGACCTCAGGCGAGCAACTCGTACCAGGAGAAGGTATCGCTGGTAAAGCGTTGGGTACAAACCAACCTTGCTTTAATGACATTCATGATTTTTGTAGGATTGATTATCCAATAAGTTCTTATTATGGGTTGAATGGTGTCATATCAATACGACTTCGTAGCACCTACACGGGACCCACCGATTTCATCCTCGAGTTCTTCCTGCCCCGCGATTGCAAACGAGATGAAGAACGAAAACATATCCGAAGCTCGATAATTTTGATGATAAAACATGTTTCCTGGAGCTTGCATTTGATAAACGATGAAGAACTAATGAATGACATGAATACCCATGACGAATCTTGGATATCCGATATGGTGGAAGCGCAGGAGAGGGGTGAAACGGTCATTGTGTCCATGGGGTGTCATAAGGAAGAACCAGAAGAAGAAACGAATCCCCTTGGTGAATCTTGGATGACGGATATGATTCAAGCTAAGGAGAGAGGCGAAAATGTCATTTTGTCCATTGGATGTCACAAGGAAGAACATGAAGAAGAATTTAAAGTGATAAACCAAGTTTATCGTGGATTTGGATTCAGCGAGCTCAAAAAGGAAACTTATCTAGATTGGGTAACCGGAAATGGATTAAGAGGCCAATCGAAACAGTCAAGCATAAAGAGTCGGGTGAAGACGGAGAGGAACATAAGTTTACAAGTTATCCGACAATACTTTCCTGGGAGTCTTAAGGACGCTGCCAAGAGCATTGGGGGTTGGATACTCGAACTTCAATACTTTAATTTTCTATAGTCATAAAATAGTTCTATTTTTTTTACTGTTAAAAAAACTATTTCCTCCGTTACCTAGTTCTCAAAAGGCAAAGTTAGTTAAGCGAGTAAATCGATAAAAAGGGTGAAAGTAGATTGTGTTTCTTCGTATATCATCCAAAAATCTCTAAACATCATTCCCTAATTTTCCTCAATGTTTTCAGTGTGCCCGACTACTTTAAAACGAATATGCAGACAATACGGAATCATGAGATGGCCATCACGAAAGATCAAGAAAGTAAGTCATTCTTTAAAAAAACTCCAACTCATCATCGATTCGGTCCAAGGTACTGATGGGATGATTAAACTCGGATCATTCTATAACAATTCCCCAGAATTAAACTCCCCTATCTCACCAAATCCCAAACCAAAAGTCAACAATCGAGTCAATATCTTAAAAGAATACGCAACACCATCTAATTCCTCATCTTCTTGTAACCATGGTTCAAGTAGTTCTTCTGGAAATGTCGTGCATAACGAAAATGCTCACTTCTCGCAAAAGAAAACGTTCCTTGTAAGACAATTTTCTCTGCTTATACACTTTTATAACATAATTAGTTTTCATTATTTTATTATATGAATACAGAGTTACAACAACATGAATGCTTTGCTTTCAACACCAAACAAAAAACTAGTTGACAATGAAGGTATCCCGCCGACACCAAAGAGCCCCAACTTAATTTATGAAGATATTTTCAGGGTTAAAGCTACTTATAGTGACGAGAAAATACGATTTCGGATGTCGAAGAATTGGGGTTTTGGGGATTTGCAGCGAGAGATAATGTGGCGATTTAATATATATGATATGGGAAAATTTACAATCAAGTATATAGATGATGACTCGGAATTGGTACTTTTGGCTTGTGACGATGATGTTGTGGAATGCCTGGAGTTACATACATCAACCAAGAATCAAATGATTAAATTGGTTGTTCACATGTCTTCCTACCCTTCATTCATGTCAATGGTCCATCCTAACAATGACATCCACATGTGGTAGTTTATGTAATAGTGTAACATCAAGAAAATTTTAATTTTATAAGATGTTAAAGTATTAGGACATGTTAAGAATCGCCTTGAAATGCTTATGGAAATTAAAATTTTAATGCAATATATCGGTAACTTAAATGTGCCTATATGTAGTCTAAGACTACAAGGAACGCAAGGCAAAAGGAATCAAGACTTTTTTACTTGAATTCCAAGAATATCCCAACTAGAAGTGTTACAGTGTTCAGTGACAATAAAATAAGTTAAGTACTTCAGACAAATATCAAAACAAACTTCGATGAGCTCGCGAAAAACTTCTGAAAAACATAAATCAAAAGAACACAATAATTTACGTTCTTCGGTCAAGGTTATCTACGTCCATGGGCGAACGAGAGAGAGGATTTTATTAACTTATTGGAACTATTACAAGCACTCAAAGTTGTATCCCACTTTGAGCTCTTTTAGAAATCTAGCAATTTACAATAATGAGCAGATGAGCATATTTATAGGCAAACATGGGAAATTCTAATTTTGATGGGCCAGACGCATCCATCATTAGCCTATTTATGGGATGCCCTAATTTCCAACCAATCACAAAGTGCCATGCAGATGCTTCTGGAACCTTCAGGCTCATGTGCATCAACCAAACACGTGATGGAGCATCATGATCACTAGTGGCCCAACATCTATCACTTTGGTGCAACATCATTCACTTTGGTGCAACACGAAGGTTTGTATTATGATTGCATATACTTCAAGTATGAACAAGAAAGGTAAAACTAATCTAAACAAAATAATCAACAAAAACTAAATACACAGAATTTCTCCAAATGTTCATTTCACCAAGAAAAGTGGTTTTGTCTTCACCAAGAAGACGAGGTTTGTCATTATGACAAATGACACAAAGCCACGAACGATAGCACTACATTCGGGTTAGCCCTAATGTAGTATATATATACTGATATATATATATATATATATATATATATATATATATATATATATATATATATATATATATATATATGTATGTATATGTATATCCCTTGATTGACGGAATTTTATCTAATGTATACTAAGAATCGATCTTATCATTAAGATATGGGATCTGATCTATTCTATATTTATCTATAATAACTGACTAATATTCTAAAGATTACAATAGAAGAACTATAAGCTAACGTTGTTGAACTTGTTAAGCTGGAGATGGCGTTGTCAACTCGTAGACGCCGACGCTGATGGATCAGCATGTTATGTGTTTGACTCACAAGATCATAAAGTGTGACCTTACAATCTCCCCTACCTAATGATCTCAAAACTAATCGCTAATGAATTGTTTTGCTCGTGTCCCCATTGAGAATAAGAATGTATTTTAACTCTTTAGCTTTAACAAATGCTTTTAACTCTTCATCTTTAACGAATGATCCCCTAAGAATAAGTGTGACTTCTCGTTAGAGAAATGATGAAGAGATGATAATGTTGATGTCAGCTTAACTCCCCCTTGAAATGTGCTTTACCAAGTGGGATTTTTCTAGTAAAGAGATGTCTTTCTATTTCTACCATGATTCTTTATCTCCCCCTTTTTGACATCAACCATTAATCTTCAAGCAAAATGGAATATCAACTTGTAGTCTAGTAAGATTGTGACGTCTCCAAGTATCATGGGTAAAAACTACAATTCACTGACATAGTATTTCGAGATCTCATCAGCATGTGGTTTCATATGTTAAATCATGAATCTCTTTTATTAGAACAAAAATAGCAAGAATGGATTGATGCGTGTGATAGCCTACGGGACATAGACTAACCATAACCATAGACTTTCTAACTTTTACGTGAACTATGACTCCTTTTCTTGTAAAATGAGATAATTATACCTTTAAATAATTATACGTATCTTCGAAAATGAAGGTGTGGTTTGTGACTTCCAAACTATATCAATTATAGTTTATCTTGCTTGTTTTGAAACTATTTGTATACTCTTTTATATAAATATAAATGTGTTTTTACATCTAGTATGAAAATATGCAATCAAAACATAATATTTTTGGGTTAAAAGTTAAAACTCACTAAATTAGCAAAGGACTATAATGTAACCATTTTTGCAAGAAAATCTATCTTTTAGTAAAAGTTTCCAAAAACCATGTAGCTTTACAAATCATAAATTCTATTATGATTTTATAACATAGATAATGTTTGTTTTATTAGTTTTTCTATTCAAACATATATATATATATATATATATATATATATATATATATATATATATATATATATATATATATATATATAACACAAACAATTGTACCAAAAACTAGTTTTAACCATGCCTGATGCATATAATATTTTATTTTTAACATAAAGATGAAGACATGTAAATATTTTTGGGATAAAAAGGTTTTACTTGTATCCCCCCCCCCCCTAAAAACATTAAAAAAAAAGATTGAAAATGTGGGGGTATGAACTCACCTTGAAATGATTTGTGGGTTGATTGAGATGATAGTGTGAAGATTTTCAAGTCTAAGCACTTGAGTGTTTTGATGAACCTCTTGGTGTTGTTGGTATCCTAAGGTTTTTACACATAATAACGTGTGTGTAAAAATAGTGAAACTAACATAAAATCATATATAGACACTATGAATCTAGAGTATACTTACAAACATCTAAGGATTTTTGGGTTTTAAGCATAACATCATTCATATGGTGTTCATGCAACCCTAATTGCTTTGATCTAGGTTTTTCTAATAAAACATACAACATTGAATACCAAAGCAATAAACCCTAGATCTAGCATGTGATAATCGATATTAACATAAGAATAGGATTTAGATCTTACCTTGATTGTTATGTAGCAATAACAATCTCAATTCATCTTGATCTTGACTTCTGAAAGCTTAGTGCCTCAAATGTTGCACCTCTAATGGAGTCACAAACATCATGAGTAACAAGATGAACTAGGAGAGAGGGAGGAGGCACCAAAACTTCCAAGAAAATCCAAGGAATGCTTAGCTACGTTTTGAGTACCCTATGGGTCCATTTATACTTGTGTAGCTACTAGGGTTTTCAGGAAAAACCCTAATTCTTTGCTTAGGCCTTAAGCAACTCATGAAGTCCCTTTAGAAAGCCCTTGGACGAAATCAATATGGGCTTCCCATAGATTTCGTCCAATCCCTTTTCCAATAGGAATCCATAGCCCACAATGCAATTATCTTATAACTACAATATTAGTTCCCCAAGTTTAATTAATCTCTTTTAGCCACAAAATTAATTCTTAATTAATTCTTGACTAATATTAATTAAACAATATGATTTTTCTTTTAATATATTATTCACATAATATATTAATAAATCACAATTAAACCTCTTTATCCTTAATTGATCCTATCAGTTGCTATGGTGAACGCAACCCAAAAGGACCGTGCTCACAATCGTGTCAAGTACATAGCAAAGTATTTATGGGCTTAGACACCTAATCCAACAGTCTCTCACTTGGATAAGTCTAATAAATAGGCAATCATAGCTTTCAAAAGCCGCTGTCGAACTCTAATCATATCAGAAACGTGTGCTTTAGATAAGGGATCATATATTCCTTCATTCTAGATATCGTATGAACTGAGACATTGATTTTAATCATACTCTCTGCTCATGTGTTGTTTCCCGATTTGCGTTTTATGATGACTGGCAACAGAGTTTAATCAAACACATCAACTTATTCCCGGCTTCGCCAAGCGCTTAAGGTGTAATCACTAAATCATCGCGGGGCCCACATATATCGCTTTTATCCCAATTTGGGTAAAACGAAAGGATAAACTTTGACTCAATGCTCGCTTGTACCCACTCATCAAATCACACACAACAATATGTTTTATAACTACAAGTTACTAGTGCGTTTACATATTATCAATGTGCAACCGACTTGCAGAATACAACTCACACATCTCGGTTTCAAGAATATAAGATATTATCGTCTCACTAATCACCCGTGATAAAATCCATGAAGTCATTCAAGTGAGTGTGGGTTTAATCAAATGCTCAAATCAAATTCATAAGCACTCATGAACGTTGCAGCAAAGCTTTGCTATGTCTAATACACTTTACACAATCTACAAACCAATTCATGACAATCTTCTTTCATACCTACTCCCAAAGTATGAGCGACTGTGGAACGTTTTGAATAATCTTATTATCCGGGAAGTCAAAACATGCAAAGTGAAGCACAAGAATAAAACTAATACTATATGGCCTCAGACCTATGAGTATAAATAAAACACATTTACTTAATCACCATATTGATTACTCATTATTTGTTGTTTCGGATAATCAAATTATTACTTGAAATATAACAATAGTTATCCCATGCACCATGCATGCACACTATGTTTACCTATGGTTCTTGCTTTGTGAAATAAATCAATTGAACACATTTCCAATGATGCTCATTTAACAATTCCTAATCATTAGTGTAAGAATACAAAATTCTCGTCAATATGTTAGATTCTAATATTTTTATGCAACGGTCCTTTCGTAATGTCACGACACAAAAGTCACCAAGACTCGGCCAATGAAATTATTACAATGCTCTATTGGAGATTGTTACAAGACAATTCCATAGATTTGAAGTCTCACATTCAAAATACATTTCTTTGAACATCCTTCTTGCATAAGAGTTTCTTATCTAGACATAAGTTTTTAACGTCCAACTCCCAAGATGGAAAATTTTCCATATTTTCCATATGACAACTCATTCTAAATAGAGTCTTATCTATTCATAATAAAGTCAATATGGTCCATCTATTAGTATACTTCCAACTGTCCACAAGTGACCAATCTTTGGCGAACCTTAGATTGTCCTTGACAATTGTTTAATTATTTTAGTCAAATCCGGTTCTAGTCATTTTTCCCTCTTAATGCCCTAGGCATTTGGAAAATTTTAGAACGGTCAAATATTACAGCATATGCAATCGATCCTATACCAGAAGCATATGGGACACGATTCATAATGTCTTACATAAAAAGCATGATACTTTATCAGCCATTTGTCATAACATTTCTATTTGCCACATTCTCAAAATTCGAACTATGAAGAGGGATGCCGTAATCATAATCGAAATTTGAGGACGCAATTAATATATCCTT